TGTATAGTAAAGATCAAAATACCTCAGGCAGTACAACAATTCATATAAGGCATACTCCTTCCAGAGGAGGAAGCTATCTTATCAATCTCAAAAGTTACGCTGGAAGAGGCAAGTCTTTATACAGTATATAAAGAAATTCAGAAGTGGGACATAGAAGCAATGCTGTTCAAAGATGTAGATGACAATTTAGACATACGTATTTGATAGTTTATAGCATAATTGGTTAACTGATCTATTGCCTAAGTGTGTTATACAATTTCAACCTATTATGGTTTATTCAATAAATCATGTTGAAACAAACCACAGCTTAGAGTGGTATATGAAATTATTGAACAGCGAAGACTTATTTTTGTTTACTGGAATTATTTAGAACATATGAATAAGCTGGTCAATGATAGGTTATAGAACAAGAAATTTCTTTTATTCCCCTGCAGTGACTTGTCAAAATAAAATATTTGTATCAAAATTTCAAAGATAATGGATTAAAGTTCAGGGAACAATTTACGGCTCTATATTAATCAATCTTTTAGTTTTAAAAAGTGAAGTGAAATATGCACAATACTGAAAGATGTAGCAAAATGTTTTTTAAAAGCAGTTGATAAATTAGCTAGACGATTAAATTAATTCTCATGTCTTGCTCAGCATTTAGTCATCTGACTGACAACAGCACTATTGTCTTTGTCAAATTTTGCATCCATAACTTAGAGGTTCATGGTAGACAAAGATCATAAAAAGCCTATTACTCCAGATAACCTGTCTGGTGATGATCCAGATGTTCATAGTGTCCTCCTGGCAAAATACACTAAAAGAAATCTCTCCACTCAAATTTCTTAAAAACTGAGGATGTACCAACAACCTGAACTGGTCTGGCTGATAAGGCATGATAATGTTGCCACAAGGAGGAATTCTTGCTTCCCTCTGCTTCCATTACAGTCTGCAACCTAGTCTACAAGCAACTAGTAACTGATTAATAGAGTGTCCGGCAGAGGGAAGCAGCAGAAAAATACAAATATTAATCCTCTTCACTTTATTGCAGGAGCTTGGTAACTCAAGGAATAGTTTGGGAAATCCTGAATGCTGAGTCTAGGAAAAAGACTGGCAGAACATTTAAAGGTACAGTCATCAGCTGTGCTATCCACTTGAGCTCATCTTCACTTTCAAGACAGTCAAGCCTCATAAACATGTATTGATAAAATGCCAAAAGACCAAGAAAAATTAAATGGAACCTGGGGGACACTGTATTTTTAAGTACTTTCTGTGACCAAAACTACTACCAGAAAGAACACTACAATCTAATTCATCCATCTTATTATTGTTTTATCACAGTCTGTTAGAAAAAAAGTTTGATAGTTCAAACAGTTACGCAAAACATTTGCCAAG